GGAAAGCTGCGCAAGAATAGCAGCCACGTTGCGTTCGAGACGACACTGGACGTCGCGCCCTTTGTGCTCCTGCGTGCGATTATGTCCCCCAATGAACGGCATGACGACTCACGGAAGAGAGCGTTCCGACGTGCGTTCGACAACGCGCGTTGCTTGCAGCTTATAACCACCTACAATTCTACTAGAATTGCTATGTCGGTGCTTTTCCAAAAAGGAGTGGGACCATTGCTTATATAGGACGGACATCAACAACAAAGGTTTCTCAACAGAGACTACACTCGGATCATTCGTACTACGTCTAGACCCAAGCCTGTTGTTGTTGTCATGGGTCCTCGATTTTATGGTTTACGGGTCCTATTCCTAGGGCAAGACCCAAGCCTGTTGTCCGATCAACATGCTTGGCTCGAGACGAACAAAGAAGTCGCATCACGGCCGCGCGGTGGAGATGCAACGCAGAACGACTTGACGCCGTCGTAGTAGCCGACAAATGGGTTTCCGGGCACTCTAGGAGCAACTGCTTGAACGCAAGCACGGCGTGCTCCTTGGTCTTCCAAACGGCAAGAGTCGAAATGCCCCATTGGAATCGCCCATGCGTGAGCTGCGCTCGTGCGGGATGATAAACGCCATCGACGACTTGGCCAAGATATGGGCTGCGAGGTCGTCCCTGAACTCAACGTGGCGCCGATTGGGTTGAAGAACGGGTACGGGTAGCGCGCACAAAACGCCGGCTCGTCGCAGCTGGTGCAGTGGCATGGGAAACAGCGACGGCACCGACGTCTTGGGCGCGGGACATCGATGCAGTGGTGGCAACCCAGCGATCCGATTGAGACGCGCAGCATGTACGGGTTGACGTTCTGCGCAAAGAGCGAAATGTGAAACACGACTTCGCCCCCAAGGTACTGCGCCTTGTGGATCAAGACGTGCTCGGCGTGGCAGATCGCGGCCTCGTCCGCAACCCAGACCCACCACAACTCGACCTGGCGCTCGAGCTTACTAGTAACAACATCATCAGCCCTCGTGCAGGCTTTTGCAATGTCGTGAAACAATAATGCGATCAAACCTGCTGGACCAAAGCTGCTGCGCGCTATAATATGTTATGAACTACAATCACCAAGCGTTAACGAGTTAATAAGTGTAAACAGTAATGCATTTCCCTTGCTTATTAGTTTTCTGACTACTGCTGGGGGCAGCCGCGGTCCTGCCGCCGTCGGCAATGCGTCGTGCTATGGGTCATGAGCGTCGCAATCCGGATTTACCATGTCCACACACAACCGCCACCACCACCACAGCTGAAGCAGCGGTACCACCACCGCTGCTTCAGCGGTGGTGGTGCTGCTGTAGCAGCGGTGGTGGTGGTGGTGGTTGCGTGTGAACATGGTAAATCCGGAATGAGGTTGAGAACGACCAAGGCTAAACCACAGTCTGGTCTGTGTCTGGCGTCACGTGCGTGAGTAGCTGACGTGCCTAACCTGATCCAACCTTCAACGGTGATGGGCAGCAGCTGCGTGGCTGCTACCATCTAATTTTGTCCTTGCAGAAAGGCCGTCTTCTTATTCGACGCGCGTTTGGTGTGTGAAAACTCCCACAGGATACTTACAATCCAGTGCACGCGTCTTCAGCACAGTTGGCAGCGATCACCTCGGTCCGCTCGTCTTCCGCTAATAGTAAAGGTGCGGCCACCCGCGGTTCTTTTCATCCCCTGGCCCTTGCGGCCAACACCGACGAATTCTCATCGCAAGTCCATGCCTGTACCCGCCGTTAACCGAGGTTTCGCCGCGCAGCGCGGGCAAGATCTCGGTGGCCGTCGTCAACAAAGTTGCGAATACTGCGCGTGACAACCGAGATTATATCCGTGTCGAAAGGTGCAGTCGGCGGCTACTACAATTTCACATTGATAGGCAGATCATGTTTGCATGATTCCAAGTCTCGTTTCCGCTCTCCTCCTCGTGTGTACCTCGCCTCCACCGGCCTCGGCAAGCAGCCGTGCATTGCGAGCGCCAACCAACGAGCCGGAACGCACCATCGAGCATCTACGAATGGCTGTCGTCGAGCGTTCACGAGGGGCTGTCTTCAACAATGTGGGCGATCAGTGACAAACGATTGCGCACGTGGCACCGCAAGAGGGGGATTGGTACAAGATGGAAAACGAGGTGCGACGAAATTTGTCGGCCCTGGTGTTGTGGTCTATCGGTCGTTGGAGGTAAACCGCGTGAGCCATTCGGTGGCGTCGTCCGAGTAGGCTTTGAAGTGATGCGGCGCGATGTAACCAACCGTGTCGTCGCCAGCGCTGTGCTTTTGGATGGCCAACTTGATGAGGAGCTGGATCGTGTCGTCGTTGACGTATGCGCCGGGCTGTAGCGACGCCGACGTCTCGTCGTGGCTGGGCATGTAGCTTTGCTCTTGGTCAAAGAGAGGGGCGGCAGCGTCGTCGCGCGTAGAGGGGTTGACTTCATTCGCGTTGGTGGACATGTGGGGCGAGGTGGGCTTGGTCTTCGTCTTTTCTTTTCTTGGCTCGGGCTCGGGCGCGTCGGGGTCTGGCCGCGGCCGCTTGGCGGGCGACTTTGTGGTCTTGGAAGACACGTTGGTAGCCCGCGACCGCTTGGCGGGTGACTTTGTGGTCTTGGGCTTTGCAGCTTTTTCTTGCTCTTGCCCTTGTTGGTCTTGCGCATGTCTTGAGGTGTTTCGGGCTTCTTGTTGGTGCGCGGGCGCTTGTGCGGGTCGATGGATGCCTTGGCCGCGCGTTTCTTCTTGTCCTTGGCCACCGCGGCTTTGGGGCAGTGCGCGTTTGGGTCGATGCTGCGCGCGTCGTTCCTCGAGTGCGAGTACCCGCCACCGCCGTAATGGTGGGTTGTAGTGCTTGAAGACGCTTGCGGTCAAAGGTGAACGAGAGGGGCATGCACCGAAAGTACAGAAGTCCTGCGTGATGTAGCTCGACGACGAGAGCTCGGTGCACGA